GTTTTACAGGTAGGAAAACAAATGAGGACATGCACATGCAATTGGAGGAATCTGAACACCTTTAATTCTTGCTTCATGAGGTGTTTGCTGTCTGCCAAAGTTCCCTATGGAAATACAAAACCTTGGGAGCGATGACATTTTGGATGTGCTAAGCATAATTTTGTTTAGTTCACCATTTTTCTTAGGAAACAGGGTTACTAGGGCTCTATTCTATGAAACAAACTATGTTGAATGGTATATTATTAGTCTTACATTCAGTTCTGTGGATTCATTTTGAAGCTTCCTTTTGCTGAATCAACTTCAGAAGGTGGTCACTCAATTTTTTATATGGTTATAAGAAACTACAGCGATTCAGATTTGGGAAGGAGAATCCCACTCTCAGACACAGTGTCATAACCTTCCCATGAGTATGCTCGCAACCACCAAATAATGAGCAGTGAATTTTGGTTTGGGGAATATAGTGACATGACTCCCACGTGCAAAAGTGAAAGGGAATCTCCCTGAGGCAACCTCACTGCCCTGCTCCACCTCCACCTTCAGCGTGGTCTCCTGTTCATTGGCTTGCTTGTCGGTCCCTGCTCACCTCACACCCTCCCCTGGCTGAATGTAATGGGAAAATCCCACCACAGGTCTGCAAGGGGCTCAAAGGAAGCGTGAGATCCCTTGGAGCCACAGGGTTGAAAGAAGCAATCACCCTAGAGAAAAACACTACCTCATATCTGAGCCACAGCTAGGGATGGGATTTCCATTTACTATAACTGCATGGTGAGGGAATCATAAGCCAGTGAATTATCCTAATGTTGGCCCAGGGCTATTGAAATCTCCAGGTAGCATCTTGCTCATCATTGAGTTTTACTTAAATTGAAAAGTAATGTGAGTGCTCAGTGCAACATTATTTAAGGGAGAAAAATGAGGAACAATCTAAACCTAATTGTCAAAAATCAGGGATTGACTAAATTATAATACAGCTACACAATCAAACGCTTAGCAGCCCATGGAAATCACATTTTAGAAGAACATTTCATAACCTGGGAAAACTTGAGTACAACACCATAGTAAGGCAGTATGTGTGCTAAGATTCAAAGTTTGTTTTTAAAAAGCACATATATGCATAGGAAAAATACTGGAAGAATATACACCAAAAAAAACCCAGTATTTATTTCTGGAGTTAAGGTTACATTTTTCAAGTGTTTATCCTTGTTCTTTTCCAAATAATCAGCAACAAGTATGTATTACCCTAATGATAAATCTAATTTTTCTAAAATAAAAATAGTTTTCAGCAGAGGGCCTATCTGAAAGCTTACAAGAAGATAGAAGCAGCTTGGATTGTTTTAAGGACAGCCACATCCCAAGTTGAATCTATGGGCTGGAGTATCTGTGGTTATGAAATTTGTGACAAATGTCCATGCAAAGTGTTTTTTTCTTTTTTTGCTACAGTTTCTAGTTTGTTTTCTTCCAACTCAGAATTTGGGATTGATAATGGTCACTGAAATTATGCCTTATGAAAAAGCTATTGTTTTAAGTATATAAATTTCCAAATTTTCTACGACTAAAATGCAAAGTCCTATTATCATCAGTTAATGGTGGGAAATATACAACAAATATAATACAATATATGTATGTATTACAGCATACATAAATACATACTATATTATTTAGCTTAAAATGTTTATGCCCTGAAAGCAACCTGACTTAGCCTATGATATTATAAATGGACCTTTTAAAGTATTTAAAGAGATTATGTACACAATGTCTATGATAAATTATAATTTTAAGTTTGTGACATTTCAAATGAAGAATAAATATGATAAATTATTACACTACTAGGACTTATTATATACACCATAGGTTGGCAGGACTGGTTCACCACCGGTAGGGGTGTAGCTTGTGAGCTAATACCAGTTTTACATTTTTAAGCAATTGAAAAATTAAAAAATACATATTTCATGAAAGCTGAAAATGATATGAAATCCAAACTTTGGTATCCACAAACAGAGTTCTACTGGAACACAGCCACACTCATTCTTTTAAATCTTGTCCATAGCTGCTTTTCTGCAATGATGGCTTCCTGAAAGAACTGTGACAGAGAACCAACTGATCCTTTAGAGAAAAGGTGTTTTCAAGGTGGTTCTGAGTATTTTGTGTATTTCCTATCGTTTGTCTCTAGATGGCAGAAAAGACCGTTTGCAAGTGCGTGGGGTGGGGGTTACTGTCCTATAGAAGATATTTACATTTCCAACTAAATCATCCCCTAAAGGCAGCCCTTCCAACAGTACAAAATGTTTTCTTTCTGTATGTATTCAATAAACCAAAGTTTAAATGTGTAGAAGAAACTAAAGGATCATTTAGTGTAGCACAAATATTTGTACTGGAATTCAGTATTCCCTTCTGCTAAAAGAAATATTGCATAATCTGCATTATTAAGAAGTCTTCTCAGTCTTTTCCCCCAGCTTAGGTGAGGTACAAGTGACACATGAAATTGTAACATATTTAAAATGTACAATGTGTTGATTTCATACAAGTATACACTGTGTAACAACTAAGTCAATCAAGTTAATTAACAGGTCAATCACTTCACATAGTTATTTTTTTTTGGTGAGAGTGCTTAAATCTACTCTTTGATCAAATTTCAAGCATACAATACAGTATTACTAACTATATAGTGAGCCTGCTGTGCTTTAGATCCTTAGAATTTATCTTGTAACTGAATTTGTACTTTTTACCTCTGAGCCCTGTGGACACACAGGGCAGCCCAGCCCACTGGGCTCCCACAGGTCCAGACCCCTGTTGCTGGGGGCTTTTGGGGTCTGACAGCTTCCCCAGCCTACCCCAGCTTTCCCAACCTCCCCTTCCCCCTTCACAAGCATGTTCCCCAATAAATATCTTTCACATGGAATCCCATTTTAGAATCTGTTTCCTGGAAGACCTCAGCTGAAAAAAAAGGTATTTTGAATATAATTATCTACATGGTGTTTAAATCTACCATCTTTCTATTTCTTATCTACTTCTCCCATTTGCTCTTTGTTCCTCCCCACCTTCTTTTGGACTGAGTTTATAAAAATGATGCTTTTATTATCCATACCTTGTTTTACTTTTTTAGCTTTTAACTTCAGTTTCATTTGAAAGTTAGGGTTTAACTTCCAAGTGTTCCTATGCTGCTTCACATATGGTGTAAAAAATGTACAGCAGAGCACACCCAGTTCATCCCTGCTGTCTTCTGAGCTATTTTCAGACATTTTCTGCATATGTGATAAACCCCACAACACATTGTCATTAATTTTGCTTTAAACAGTCAAATATCTTTTACAGGGACCAAAAATACTAGAAATTTCTTTTTTCATGTGTCCACCTTTACCCTTTCTGGTGTTCTTCATTACTTTATGTACAGCCGATATCTAACTGGTTAATATTTTCCACCTTTGCTTAGTACTTCTTATAGGGCAGGTACAATGCTACTGGATTTTCTCATATTTTGTTTGTCTAAAAAAGTATGTATTTCTCCTTGATTTTTTTTACCGTGGTCAAATACACATAACATAAAACTTACTGATTNTTTTCTCTTTCTCTCATTTGTTGCTGAACCAGTAGAAAGTTTCAGACATCATGACACTTTATCCCTAAATAATTAGCATGTATTTCCTAAAATAATGTTTTTCTGTATATCCTCAATACAATCATGCACCTAGGAATTAATAATAATTTTCTATTATTAGCTAGTAACCAATACTTGTTGAAATCGCCCCATTTAACCTCAAAGTGTCCTTTAGAGACTTGCTATTGAACCAGGATGGAATCACCAGTGCAGCTTCTGTTTTCTAGGTCTCCTTAGTTCTCCTTTAAACTAGAACATTTCCTACCCCCATTCCCTCCACATGCACTTCTTTTTCATGAGGCCACTTTTTTTTGGAAGGGACCAGATCATTTATCTTTTAGAATCGGCATTCTGAATTTTTCTGTTTTCCTACAGAGTCAATTACTTTTCTATCCTTTATATTTTCTATAAATTGGAGGTTAGGTCTAAAAGTTTAACAATATGATACTGTATAACCTCATACAGCATCACAATATGAGAAGTATGAAATGTTGTGTTATTTCATTTTTGGTAATGTTAGTTTAGATCAATTGGTTAAAGTGTTAACCATCATTGCAAAGGTTTGATTTTTCCTTTGCAATTAGTAAATAATCAGTGTAAATAATAGTGAATGTAATCAGTGTAGCTACAGTAGTAAATATAAGTAAATCAGCACAAATAATATTTTGTCATTGTTGCAAACACTCTTCATTCCAACAGACTTTTTAAGTAATGGTTTCATTTTGTGATTAGGATCAATTATTTCATTAAGAATTCATAAATGGTAATTTTCTAATTTTATTATTCCTTTCCTTTTCATTAGCTGGCATCACCCTGTGAAAAGTAGTTTTCCCTCATTAACCGAGAATGGTCTAGAGTTCCTTCTATAAAGTCAAAGTAAATGCTGATTCTTTACCTTTAATTCCCATTTTCACTGTAGGCGTTGGTGTAACAGTCATCTACGATTGAAGCAAGTTAGATATTTATCTCTACCTTTCTCTCTCTCTTTCTCTTGCATCATGAACTCATGTATTTTTATTTTAAAATTTTTACAATCAATTAGTTATTATTTTTTGATGCTCTATTTGTCCTCTGTTTTTGTCTGTGAGAGCTCCTTCTAGCTGGATGCTTTAACACATAGTGATTATTTTTTTATGTAAAATGCCCTTCTTGGATCTCTTTCAACAGCTGAAACCATGTCTGTTCTACTTGCAGCTTCCCCTCTTTCTGTCCCAGCAGTACCTCCATCTGAAGAGGACCTGTTTCCTTCTAGACTGTCAGTCAATAAATTTGAAGCTAGACTGCTTCCTTCATCCCTGACAAACCTTTGCTTAACACATCAACTGGCACCAAGAAGAGCCCTTGCAAACTCTAGCTAGGTCATAAAGGGAGGAACCTCCACTCGAAATGTCTGAACACTTTATCTTACCTTGCATAATAGTCATTGGGTGGAACTGCTTCTTGAAAGAACTGGAACTGATATAAATAAAGTCCAATCAAATGTCCCGCAGTGAAAATAGCCAGCAGAACACAAAGACAGCTGAACAGCAATGGATCAAACGTCCGGCACCAAGACCACCAGGTACACAGACCCAAAAATACAAAGAAGTACACAGATGAGGTCAAAGATGGCAACATCATACCTAAGGAAGAAGAAATGTGATCATGAAAAATTGCATAGAACTGGAGAGTCACCACTCGGTAAATGTAGTTATTGGAGGGTATGTAAATTTCTTTGCTATGCTTTTAGGTATCATCAGACTTTTAAAAATATTAACTGCACTTTTTTTATAAAAACCAAAATTAGTGCTATTTTTATTGTAAAAAAGAGAGTCACACACAAAGTGTTTTTTGTAAATATGGAGAAATACCAGAAGATGAAGAAATTCTTCCTGTGGTGGTTGAGCAGAGTAACATCTGTTTCTCCTATCAGTAGAATTTCTTTTTTTTTTTTGAGAGGGCATCTCTCATATTTATTGATCAAATGGTTGTTAACAACAATAAAATTCTGTATAGGGGACTCAATGCACAATCATTAATCAACCCCAAGCCTAATACTCAACAGTCTCCAATCTTCTGAAGCATAACGAACAAGTTCTTACATGGTGAACAAGTTCTTACAGAGTGAATAAGTTCTTACATGGTGAACAGTGCAAGGGCAGTCATATCACAGAAACTTTTGGTTTTGATCCTTACCTGTTTCCATCTTCCTACTTCTCTGCAAAATTTTTCGAGAATACTTTTACATTCCAACTTTCCCTCATACATTTTTAAAATAATGATTTAATTTTTTTGGGTGAGGTTAGTTAAGTAGGAGCCATAATAATTACATTCTGTGGCAGTTAAAGTCTTACTAAATCTTTGTCCTTGATGACATTTGATTTGCACTATTATCAAAAGGGGAAACATAAAATGAGATAATTCCTTTAGAGGTATTTAAAAACTTTTTTCTTGGGGTGTGGGCATTTGAAACTGACTCCTCATTAAAATACTGGGTTATATTTCCTGAGAAATTCTATTCTTTTTTCTACTTTTTAATTTCCATATTAAAAAACAGTTAAGTTGTTCATCTTGTGAAATTTCAACCAAGCAATATGGAATAAACTCCCAGCCACTCTGAAGCAATGGTGAGCAATGGTGAGCATCGAGATGGAAGGAAGGGGAAGATGGGGATAATGTTATTATGGAATACACAATCTAAGGCCAAAATTTAAAGGAAGTGAGTGTCTGTGCTGCAAGATTACAATCTAATTCAGGAAGAAAATCAGTATATCCTGGAGAGTTAAACCAAGATGACTAATAATAAACAGACTTGCTTTCAAAATGCACATAAGCAACTCTGGTGGGTACACTGAAATCTCCCACTGTAGCAGATCACCCACCATTCATAGGCTCTGAGGAAGAAGAATAGCTGTTTTTCTGACTTGCACATACAAAATGGCATCACTTAATAGATATGGAAAAAGATTGCTTTATAGAGGTTAACAGGAACCATTTAAAAACATAAACACTAGAAATGAACAGGAAATTTTTTTGTATGTGTGGTTTGTACATGTGGCCAGTTTTACAAAAGCTACCATTATTATTTTGATGTCAAGGAATAGAAATGTTTCCTTCTTCATTTTCTCCTCAACAACTTCTTTGACTATTTGCCAAAGTGCTACTTGCATTCCATCCTGTATTAGAATCTCTCACCTGATGAACCAAGTAAAATTGTCACAACGACTTTCCCAGCGGTGGTTATCATGTTGCCAATAAACTCCTTAAGCTTGGAAGCCATGGAGGCAAGCCTGCGGAACATTTTTAATTTTGTGCTTTCTTCCAACTCGCCTTCAACACCAGCTCCTTCATCTAAGTCCTCTTCATAGATCAGGGCCTCTTCTGGATCCATTTTTTCTCCTCCAGCCTAAATAAATGAAAAACAGAAAACACTTCAGTCCAGAGCTCTGCCCATCCGCCAGCAGAAACATGGTTTGCAAATTATGGAACAGTCAATGAGGTGAATTTTAAATGAGAAAAAAAATGCAGACTACCACTTACCCTGTATAAGCCCAAGTAACTTTGATCTCTCCTGAAGAGGTAAACAGGAAACATCACTAATCATAGGGTCCCTAAAAGCATGTCATCTTACCTACAGGAGCTTATTTTCTACAAGCAGGAGAAGAAACTGTCTGAAACATCTATTAATAATCTTAGTTTTCCTCAGTCTGGGATTAGTTCCTCAAATTTACAGTTTACGGTGAAGGTAATGGGAGGTCTGATCAAAGTAGCCATGGCTGTAATTGAAAGGGTGGGCCGAATCCATGCTCAGGAAAGCCCTTTTCTTTCTCAAGTTTGCTTTTGTTCACGATTTTGGCATTTCCTGACTGTGGGAGGATGAGTGATCCTGGGCTACTTGGCTAAATATAGTCGCTTTCTATTTTATCCTTGTAGAGAATGATATACTGGTTTAATTATGACAGCTGAGCACCTCTGTACTATTGTTAGAGACTTAGGGAAGAAACATATGTCCAGACATACACTTATTTCCCTGTATTATTTTAAACTGGGTCTACTAAGGTGTTTTTTGTTTTGTTTTTAAAGAATACATAGAAATGTTTTTTGGCAAATTCGAATCTTTCTCCAGAAGGGATAGGGTTTTTTTTTCTTAAGGAATTGTAAATATAAACCATCACCTTAACGAAAGGAAGCTGTTTTAGATGCATGAAACTTTGCATTTGCCCCTAGGCTAACAGACTTGATTTCTTTAGCTCTGTTGGAAGGCCTGCAGCTGGCTGCAGAGCCAGAAGGACCATTAGGCCCAGTCAAGACACCTATTTAAGGCTTAAAGAGTAGAGCCTGATTTCTCCATCTTAAAGGTTCTTTCTTGATACACTTAGTTCAGACATTTACATAATATCCACTGATGGTATGTGAACTTCTATGCCAAGGTTCACTGGAGGAAGGCAGGCAGGCGTAGGAAGGCTGGTGTGAGGTTCACGTGAGTGTTGAGCTCTGAGAACAGAGAGCTCTTCTGTTGCCAGGAGGATACAGACCATTTGGTACTCAAGCTGGCTACTGATGAAGCCAAGGCCGCAGGCTGTACGCCCACCCCCTACACGTATGCACACACACACGCACACACACACACAGGTTTAACCCCAGGTCTATTCAAGTTTATATACCCAAACTGGGTTTTATTGTATACCATCATGACACATTTGTATTTTTTCCTGAAGGAAAAGGAATGTCTCCTGCTTATTAAGAATTTTCTATCTGCTCAGCACTTAGTATATGTTGGTATCTCCAGTAAGAGATACAGCAATAAACATATAAACAAGTCAAAGAATAACAAACTGAATATTCTCACAGTAATAAATGCTATTCAGAGAATTAAAAAATGGTGATGTGATTGTGGGTGACAGAGTGGCTGTTTTAGATTCTGAGGTCAGGGAGAGCCTCTCTGAGGAGGTGACATTTAAGCAGAGATTTGAATGTCACAGAGTCACCAACTACGTGAAAATCCTTGGCAAGAGCATGCACGAAGACTCCAAGTGTCAGAAAATAGGCACTTGTCCCTAGACCAACTTCTTCCAATTTATCCTCCACGCTGTCCACTGATGGCCCTGTTCCCACCTGTGGGGCAGGCACTCATCCCCACACCTACTGGTTGTAGGTGAGTGAATGCTGGGACTGCAGAGAGGACAGACCCACCCAGTCATCAGCCCCTGTCCCCTGTGTCACCTTTGCTTCCTTTCTTCCCCAGTCATCCCATCAACAAACATGTCCCATCTTACCTTAGAAAACACACTCCATCCAGCCTTGAGTTGCCTCTCAAAGCAAAACATGCCAAGAGTTGACTAGGTGCCTGGTGCCACTTAATTCCCCTGTGCTTACTTTTTCTTGAACCCATTCGTCTTGCCAGAGGCTTTCAACTTCAGGCAAGTTCACTCTGGATTTGGTGAGACCAAATAATGACAATGGAACACTGGGGGTAAAAGGGTTTATACCAAGCTTTATTCTCACGGTAGCAGGTTGAATGCTAGAATCACATCTGCATCCAGAAAATCTGCAATCCATTTCAGCCTCTGCTGGCTGGGAACTGGGAAGAGCACTGGGTGGAGCTCTTTATGTAGCAACACAGACAACAATGGCTCACTGCCAACAGATATGTAAGCATGCACCTAAGCAGTAGGCCAGTTACATCACTGCATGTGTGCAGTGGACAAGTAGATTATGGTCAGGTGAGGATCCTGGCCATAGGAACTTCCATTTTCCCTACACTCCACCCCTCCAGGATTCTTGCCTCATGATCTATGCACCCTCAATTTCTGTAATGGTTCCTGTGCAAGAAAGTTGGTGCAATGTAACCAGATTCCACAACGGCAACAGAGGATAACAATGAAAATTATAATAATAGTTGTCTTCAAGGCTGAGAAGATCTACTGCCACAAAGTGGTCATTCCAAATGTATTCAAATTGGTTCCACTCAGATGAGTTCATGACTCATACTTTCCATGGGAGACCAATAGCCAAACTGACAGGGAGCTCCATGCACACCCAGCAAGCTGCAGGTTTGCTAAGGTGTGTGCCCATTCCATGAAGACATTAGAGGAGACTAACTTTATGGTGATAAGACATGTTTTAATGACACTAATATAGGCAAATCTTGTACATCAGGTAGGATGCATGCGAAAGAGTGGTCCTGTGGGGACTGTGATAGAAAGGGGGTCCCATCCAGGTCTAGTGTACCATACCTTTACTCCTCTTCCTGTGGGGGCTGCTGAGGGATCCATGTAAAGTGCTACGTATAGTTGCATGCACTGGCCATAGAGATAAAACAAAACCCCCCAGTAAGATGCTCCTACTTCCCAGCCATCTAGGGTACACTTAAGTAATCCATGGAGGACACTCTGCTGTTACTTCAGGAGGCCACCCTGTAAGGTGCCAGGAGGGCCAGCCATCACTGGTCCATGTGTCAAAACATCCAAGCTCACGTCCACTGAATGGAGTCTCCAGGGTTTACTGTAGTCAGGGCTGGTAGCAAAATATTATTCTGGTGGCCAAACCCCAGCTTCAACAATTCCTCCTTAGTTTGCATTTACAGTGGGATAGCAGAGGCAGCAGTGTGTGTTAGCATGTCTATGGGGCTCAATATCCCCTACCGGGCCTCCTCATTTAATTGCTGTAGCACTGTCCATATGCACAGAGCACCCTCATAGACTTTTGGTATCCAACTTCAGGCCATATTTTAACAAACCACTGTACCTCTCTATCATGCCTGCCCCAGTAGGATTATATGGTGCATGAAGCTTCTACTTTATCCCTAATTGTTGCACCCATTCTTGAAGTGCATGTCCAGTAAAGTGGGTGCCTTGATCACCTTCAATTACCTGCAGTTGGCCATTGGCCACAAAGAGACACTCTAGGTTTCTTTTGATCATTTCCTGGTCTGCACAAAGCATAAGAAAAGCAAGCATAAGTCCAGTAGCTGTTCCCACAAAAGTCATGGCATATTAATACCCTTCTAGTATGGGCAGAGGTCCAATATAGTTTATTTGCCACCTGATGAGGGATAACAGCCCCTTAGCTATTATCCCATGTTTCTGTGAGACTTGGTGCAAGTAAGTCCCCTTGGGAGCACACAATACACTCCTGTCAGGCTCTGCTGACTTCTTCAAAGGCCAAAGTCAGGTCCCACAAACAGGCTACAGCCCACATTATCTTCTACCCTGCAGCAGCACATGTTGATGTAACCAATGGGCAACATAGGAGGCAGGTGTTTCTTTTAGCCAACATACCTGGGCCAGTTTATCTCCTTCATCATCTCCTGTGGATGCCAGTGGTAAATGGCCTGTCACATGACTTAGTGTAACTGTTTGACTAGAGGCCCATAAGTATTCCACAACTCTTGTCCCCAAAGCTATTGGTTACCAACCAACCAGTTGGCATGGTACCATGTTGGTAGTCACAGAGTCAAGCCTTGATAACAGGCTCTGTGGCCAGTGAGGCATGGTACACAGCAGCCAATTGTTTCTCTGTGAGATGTACTGTACCTCTACTCCTTTCCAGAATTGTAACCAGAATCCAATAGGTTGGCAAGTTCATTCAAGCCAGTGCCAGAGTCCGCAGCCATAACCATCTTTGGTCACATGGACATCCAACTCACAGGGCCTTAATGGGTTTATCAGACCTCAAGGCCTGCATGTTCTTAACTGCCTACTTTGCAGTGCGAAAGGCAAAACTGCCTACTTTGCAGTGGCAAAGGCAAATGCACATTTTTCATCCCAGCCACTTGATACCTTTTCGTACCAAACAGTATGAGGGCTTCAGAATTTGTGCCAAATGTAGGATAAGCACTTTCTAGTAGCCTGAAAGACTCAAACCTCTTGCAATAGTGTTACAGTTGTGTGTAAGAGAATCAGGAATAAGCATGACATCATACACAGTATTAGATGCTCTATTCCCAATGGGATTGGGCTTGTTTCACTCTGAAAGCCTTACCCCTGCATCCATCTATAATAGCAGAGGTCCTGGGAGACTGCTCAGGGTTACCATTAATCAGTGAGCATTCAGCTCCTGTTTCTCCCAGAGCCAGGACACATTGTACATTTACTGGGGACCAATGAATTGACATTCCAACATGTAGCCTCTAGTCTCTACTGGGTCCCTTAAGGCAGGTACCTCACCCCTCTCCTCATTCAAACTGTATTGCCCAATCATCTTTCTGTGGATGTCCAAGTGAGGACAGATCACTCTCCAACAGGATGTCTTGCAGGCACAAAGGCCAGACTTATGCTTTGTCTCTGGCTTCTGTTTCTTGGTCCTCAAAGACTGAAATCATTGCTCTAATTTCAATTGTTGCCACAGCTCTAGTAAGCTTTTATTTGACTTCTCATCAAATTTCTTTTTGATTGCTCCTGCCCC